CCAACACGAGCAACTTGATCAATCTAACACACACACACGCGAACAGATTGCCAACAGCATCAGGAAATGGCTGCAGTTTGTCTTTAAGCCATAGAGGATTCTGGGAGCACGTGGATCTGTGCACAAGCTCGCCGGCAGTCTCACTGTTCACCATCACTAGTGAGCAAATTTGGAAAAGACTTGCTATCCTGACTGACAACACGAAAGGTCAGCTCCTCTCATTTCATCACTTCCAAGGCCATTGGAAGAAGTGTAATGGTATTTTGTTAGTACTTGTATCAATACTCTGTACCAGCAACTAATGAATTGTAGGTACTTGTAATAAGTTTGATAAACGGTGATATTTGTGCAACCCCAGAAGAATTTAACTCCAGTAACATAAACAGTAACAGTGTCAGTAAAACCGCGATCACTGGGGTACTATTCAGCATGATACTATTTATTATCTGGTTGCGTTCTGCTATTACTTTATTCAGCACTTGGCACATTACTGATTCATCTCAAAGCTACAAATCAGTCTTTCATGCAGCCTGTGTGCGTCCCTCCATCTGAGAAGAGCCAGCACATTCCTGGGCACGGCTGCCTTCAGTCAAGGAACACTACGATCTGCTGGGCTCACGCTGCTACTGACGAGGGTAGTCCTGACACGTGACTACCAGGTTTGGAAAATATAACTAAATAAATAAAACTGAAACTACTGCCAAGGCTACAAAATGCATTACTTAAAGAAAACAGACATCTTAGCAGGAAATATCTGACAGTGCAGAGTGTTCAACAGAGCACATGTCAGAGCAAGTGTTCAAGCGGTCCAGAAAAGGAGGGCTGCGTTACCTCAAAGCTCCGTCACAAAACAGGTTGTGTAAAATGGCTGCCCAGACCAGTGTGTTTTTAAAGCTCTCTCTGTCCGTTCATAAATCACTGAGAAAGTAGACCACTTCCTGCGCAGATGTAAGTTTTCAGAAATAAAGCGGGCAGTGTGGAACCAAAAAAGAGGCGTGCAGCTGAACTCAGCTGGGCTGAAGTAAAGCACGGCGCCTGACAGACATCTCCCTCATGCCGTGTACAAAACATGATTTAAGGCCTCACTTGCAAAAGAAATCTATGATCTATATGGGATTAGACTAGTTAAATAGGGTTCATCAATAATAACAATCCTCTGTGATTATTTTTTAAACAAGCTACAAAGTTGCCGCATGTCATCAAGAACATAAATGTGTTTGTTGTTTAATCCTGCAAGCGCGTAGTCGTAAAGTCATCAGATCATCTTAGTGAGCCAAAAAAAGCACTTGTAGATGCTCCGATTCTACTGCACAAATACACAACGTGTCTTTCTCCTGTGAAAACAAGCAAAGCCATCGTTGTGTGATAAGAAGAAGAATAGCTTTTTTCAACAGAAACACTGCAGAACATGTGAATAATCGAATAGTTTTTAGAAAGTCTGCTGCAGTGTCTTGTTTTAATTTGCAACATTACACGCAAACTGAAAAAATGCTGATAAAAGACTCGGAGGGCATCAAACAGCTCTTACAAGACTGATCACGCAGAGCCGCACGCAGTTATTCACACCGACTGAAGAAAAGTTTGCACGTTACAAAACATTTATTAAAATACTGTAAAAATGTATGAGAAACTTTAATGTTCCACATTGTCATTGAGCTTTAGTCGTGTTAACTTATTCTTACACCCATCAGAATAAGTTGTGTTTTTGAGCAGCTTCAGGATCGTCACATTTACTTTATGGTCATTCAGAACGATGAGCACAACGTGTGCTTAAAACAGGAAGACAACAAAAGTCAAATACTCAGAGTTGAGTAGGAACTGTGCACCATGAGCCTGACAGGCCGAAGCATTTGAACGTTCTCTCAACCCTGAGGCCCAGCTAAGGAGCAACACTTTAATGTTTCTGGGAAGAAGAAAAAAAGCTGAGAACTGGAACGAGGCGGAATAGTTTCCCAGCCCTGCCCTGTCTCTTTCTTTCTCTGCCTCTCCACATCTGCTGCACTCATGTAACCCCCCTCCCTGCCTCCCCCTCTGGCTCAGAGAGGAGAGGCCCCTTTCCAAGCCTCAATTCTCCACCTTCTTCACCCTCCCAGAGCTCACTGTAGGAACTATCAAAACATTTAAAAAGGAGGAGGAAGAAAAAAAAAAGCTTTGGTGCAGGAGGAAGGGAGCTGGATCTCTTGGTGGTGGGCAATAAATCACAAACACTGGGAGCAACAAGACCCTCTTCAAAGCCCCTTTGAGCATAGACAGCCCTGGTTCCTCCCAAAGCCCTCCATATACCCCATACCCTGCTTCAGCCCCTCTACTAGGCCCTGATCCCTGTGCACACTATCCCTTACAGCACCCCCCACCCCCATTCATAATCGCCTCCCACAGCCCAGGACACAGAGACTTTTCTTCTCTCGGCTCTATATTCACACTCGCTCCAGGCCCAGCGTTGCTGCCACTCATCCAGGACGCAGCCATTCAGCACATGCCCCCTCACACACATCCATGCTCACCCTGCAAACCGCAGCAAGGAATTTCACAATCGCACCACAAAGAGCAGAAACTGGAGACCTGGCAACTACAGCTGCACTTGAGGTGTTCAGAGTGCACGTTCACACGAGCAACAGCCTCTTCAGAAACATGCACGTTTTAATTAAGACTTCATAGTTATGGCTGTGACTGAGCACAATTTCCAAGAATCCAAAAAAAGAAAAAAGAAACAAGTTCTAACTTGCCATCATGTGAGAATTATTTCAGGTGAATTTTAAACAAAAAAATGTATCACTGCAAAGTATCTGTATTTATAATACACATTTAAAAACTGATTATGCTTAGAGCCACAAATATGAAGTTAGTACTTTTTTTATTTTATGGAAAACAGACGTAAAACACATTTATGAAAAATGCTAACACGACGAGCTTGGTGCAAAATCCTCGGGACTGAATCAGTAACATTGTGTTACAGTGAATTTGTTTTTACAACAAACTTTCTTTCACAGTATTTTTTTTTACTTTTGCTTTGTTTGAAATTACAACATTTACTCTGATACTTTTTTTTTATACACTTTATATAATTCCTCCTCTAGTATGGGCCATTGACTCATTGGTGATGTAACGCAGGCCTATTGTGTAACAGCAATAAATATCTGTGTAAAACACTGAGCAGTGATTCATGCAACTCATGGAATAATCACAAAATACTTAGAATCAAGGACATTTAGTGTGACCTGATCATTTTCACCCTACATGTTTCATGCTTAGTTTTGCTGCAAAAACTAAAATTTGCATGCATTAAACAAAATACCAAAGCTTTGCATGACAGTATAGAAATACAGCAGTCCCTCGCTACTTCGCGGTTTGTTTATCACGGACTCGCTCTATTGCGGTTTTTCAAAAAAAGATTGGACATGACACGAGTGGCTGATTGATGGATGAACCACACAATCGGCATGGAATTTTTATTTAAAATAAATTATTTTAAATTATTTAGCACCTCCTGCACCTATGTGCAGCCCATACTGCAGAATAAACTTCCTGCTGCAGCTGATCAGCATGCAGAACAGAGAAGCTGATCATGACATGACATTCTGTGCTTTTTTAGAGCGTTTAGAAACATTATTTAGAATATTGCAAGAGTGTGGGATTTAAAACGTCTCTCTCTCTCTCTATATATATATATATATATATATATATATATATATATATATATATATATACACACACACACTAAAATAAACTACTTACTACTTGTACTAATAGTCCTACTTCGCGGTTTTTCACTTATCGCAGGTCTTCAGGGTACAGATCCCTGCGATAAGCGAGGGACTACTATACTTGCCTTTTTACATAACTATGTATAAAATGTGTAGTCATGTGATTTTCTACGAAAACTTTAATGCAATAGAAATTGTCATTACCGGTATATCAAGGTATCAATTTCTAATAAAATAATGGATCATCTTTTAAAGTTCAGCAAAAGCTCTCTCGGGATAAAAACTGTTTTCATCAGGAAACGGTGGTGCAAGCCAAAATCTAAAATTGACTCAGATAAAACACCTAATTACATTTAATGGCAATAATTGCAATTTACATAACGCTAAACGATGACTGTCATGCTGCAACAAGGCCTGCTAAAACACAACACCTTCAAGTATTTCAGCCTCTTGTTTATGAGCATTTAGCTTTTCTGACAATCACAAACAAAACAAAACTGTTTTATACTTTGTTAGCAAACATCAACATGTAAAACAATCAGGACCTAACACAGAAGGGTCCAATCCTGGTCCTCATGGGCCACTAACATGCATGTTTTATAAGTTTCACTGCCCCGACTCGTTAATCCAAATACCTCCTCATGTTCTGCAAAAGCCTGTTCAAATCAGGTGTATGTAAAAAATTTAACAATCACTATTATTGTTTAAAGTTGTCTGAACACACACACACACACACACACACACACACACACACACACACACACAGCGGTTTCAGTCCATTGGGGTTCAGTTAGAGGAAAACAGAAACAAAGTGATATCTACTGGTACCGTCTGCAACGACACATGATGTTTTATTGTGCCCCCGGTGCCAGTGGCCTCTGGGACCGAGCACGGTACACATTCAGAGCAGCTCGACAGCGCTGGGAGCAGCGACTTGTTTCAACAAAAACCTTTTTACAGTATCAAACCCTTTTCCAGACAGTATTAAACTGGCTCCACACGTTCAGGTTGCTTCTCGTAAAAAACACAGCAACGGACGAACTCTATAGTTTTTCTGCAAACTGCCACGCTAAACTGTTGATAAAGGCAAGACGTGGCTGAAATCGCTGCAATAATCATGTTAAAGATGTGTGGGAAATTACATGACAGTCAACATTAATGTTCAGTTGTAATCTTATGTGGTACAGTAAAATAAGCAAGCATGTCACAGTGAGAGAAACAAACCAGTCACTGTTTTTTCTTTTCAAACAAAACCCATAAATATCACGAGTTTAAGAGATTTGGTGTAAAACTCACCTTGATCCGAGTCAGAATCTGCCTCTGCTTTGAAGGAGCCTGGAGCTACAGGTAAGGGTCTGAGAGGCCTCGGCTTAGGTGTAGGGGGAGAGATCCATTTCTTCCCGATGTACTCGACATATGTCCCAGGGAAGTCCCCTTTCTCCTGAGTGGTTTCGTTAAAGCCTGGAAGCCAGCCGATCTCTTTGGGCTGCTGCTCCAGACCATCGGTGTAGCCATGGGCCACCAGGGCCCCTTTGCTTACCAACAGAATATCCCCCACATGCAGGTCAATGTCTTCCTCTCTCTCCTTTTTGTAGTCGTACAGCGCTCTGTACTGATATCCTTCAGCACTCATCCTGATCACTTTTGTCTTTAAAGGTGTTTTCTTGAAGAAGTGCTTCAATTAATTACTTTACGTTTCACGTTTTTTTCTGCCCAAGTGTTCAGTCCCAGTACTTCCAAAAACGAAAAACAACAGTTTTATGAAGACGTCGATATCTAGCTTGCCTTGATCCTTTTACAGTTCATGTCCTGTCTCAATAAACTGCAGCTCTCTTGGCGTGTCACCCCACAGTATGTACCCATCAGTAAATGGCCTGAAGCTGAGTTGGCTTATCCAGACCTGCAAAACGAGAGACGACCATGTTTAACACACTGCACAAGATAACCACTGTCTGCTCTGCATGCAGTGCTCACATGTGAGTTTAGTTTGTACATAAATTAATAACTTATACATATATAAAATTGGAATAAAGGAACAAGATTTATTATAAGATTTTTTTCAGGTCTCTCTTGTAAATGAGTCCTCGAGGCTCAGTGGGATTAACCTGTCTAAATAAAGGTTGAATGAAAGAAATAGAATATGTTTTAAGGGCAGTTTCATACATTAAATCTAAAGTGGTGGATTATTTTTCATAGACTGTCCACATTTATGTTTGACACATATGTTAAGACGTGTATATTGCATACGCTTCATACAAAAAAAAAGTAGTCAAATGAACATCCCACAGAAGTTTACATGTATTTTAGAATAAAAATTAGATGGTATAATCCAAGTTGTGTTTCACTGAACTGCTTCAGATTAAGCTCTTATCATCTGACAAGATATAATCTGGGTCAAAAGTAAATAATTCACTGCTCAGACTCCAATGATGAGCCCGTTCATTTTATTGGGACCTTTAGATAAGACGCACAGGTTTGTCACCATCAGAGCTAAAGTCATTGTTATACAAACTAATAATGATCATTTCACTGGTCTGCTCACTAAACGTGTCAGAAACCAGTCTGCCCATCATCTCACAGCTAGGTTAGCAGGACGGACACAAAGAGGGGGGTGGGGGGGTTGAATGTTAAAGTAAATGTAGAAACAAATTCAAGTTTAACTAAGTGCCATTTGGGAAAACTTATGTCTCGAACATACTTTTAGTCGCCTTTTATGACCAGGCTAAACATTTAGCTAACAAAGTTAGACGTGAACTCACGCTGTGCAGAGATCCTCCGGACGATTTCGACAAGTCCCTTTTCCTCCAAATTAAACCGCTTCCACTTCCTCAAACTTCGTTAAACGTTAACCGAATGCAACCTGAACTGGTCCTTCATCCACGTGGTTAAAAAGGAAAAAGTCCCTGCCGCTGTCTAAAGTCGATATATTGACGAGAACAAAGTGTTACAACACAGCGTCGACAGAACAGCGCAGCTCCCCGCTCCCAGCAAATGTTCCTGACCGTCGCCCCAGTGGCCAGCGAGGGGGGCGGAGGCAGTATGCGATCGTTCATTGGTCAGTGCGCCTGTCAATCAATGACGTCACATATTCCAACCTATACCCTTCCTGTGTGAGGCTCCCACACCCCCTTATCGTCCTCTTCGTGCAAAGCGAACAACCATTTTAATTACATAAGTGCGTGTATATTTAAAAAAAAAAAACTCTTTACTGTGCATTTATGCAGTTTTTTTTTAACCAAAATTGTTTTTACGCCATTATCATTCCATGTGAATAAAATATGTAACGTTACAACTTTGAAAACTATCAAGATGGAGTTTAATATGTGCTTTTTCACAAATGCAGTCAGGATGACAAGCAGGCTTTCATGGTTCCCCAGTTCTTTCCTGTAAATCGTTACATGCATTTATTCTGAAAATGGTACAGAGCAACCATGTGAGACGCATGACTGTGAATGTGGGTGGCCTAATTATGGTCTGGAGAGAGCACTGGCTTCCACCACACTGTCCTGGGTGTGCTGAAAGACTGTGAGCAGTTTTGTACTGCACAATACGACCCTCCAGTCTCATCAGTGGCAATCATTGTTGAGGAAAGAGGAAGGATAGTAGGAAACAAGTCTACTGATGATGCTAAAACAAGCAACAACAACAACAACAACAAAAATAAAGGAACTCTAAACTGCTGATGTGGTCCATTGAAAAACCAGAAGAAAATGCACTTTTGGTGTCCTCAAATTTGAAGTAAATTTTTATTTGTGCCAGATAAATGGAGAAATGTTGAAAATTTGTTGCAAATCATTTCAATTCAGTCACAACAGAAGTTGTCTCAGGACAATGTACAAAAACTTTCACATACAATGAAAAAAAGCCATTTACTGTAGTAAAAAATATATATCTAAGGAAGCCAGCAGACTGTGTTGAAACTTTGTCACAGTCTCCCATCCTGAGCAAGGACATTGGCAACAGTGGAAAGGAAAAACTCCTTTTCAAATAGAAGAAACCTCCAGCAGAACCAGGCTCAGGATGAGCTGCTTCGACTGGCTGGGTTTGAGAAGACAAAAAGAAGAAACGAACAAAAAAATACACAGAATGACAGGTCCAGGTGTACTTTCTATTGGAGAACAAAACAAACAAAAAAAAACACGATAAGGATAGAAATAATTACAAATACAAACAGGTAGCGCACATAAAGACAGCTGCAGAGTAAGGAAATATGGTCAATTTGTCCTCCAGCAGTCTAAACCTATAAGAGCCTAAGGGGTAGCTCAGGAAACCCAATCCAACCCTAACTAAAGCATTTATGAAAAAGGAAATACTTAAGCCTAATCTTAAAAGTAGAGAAAATGTCAGCCGCAGGGCCAGAAACTGGAAGTTGGTTCCACAAGAGCCTGGTAACTGAAAGCTCTGCTTCCCATTCTACTTTTGGAAACTCTAGGAACCACAAATAAGCCTGTAGTCTGAGAGCGAAGTGCTCAGTTAGGAAAGAATGGAACAATAAGATCTGTAATATACTTTGTACAAATGGAGCTAAGTTATTGAGGGCTTTGTAGGTTAGAAGTAAGATTTCCAATTCTAATCTGGATTTGACAGGGAGCCAATGGAGAGAAGTTAAATTGGAGAGATATGATCTCTCCTATAACTCCAGTTAAGACTCTGGCAGCAGCATTTTGGATCAACTGAAGACTTTTAAAATAATGTTTTGGACATGCTGAACCCTGGCTAAATGCAGAGATCCGTATACCCTGCCGAAAGCCAGGGACACTGCCTTCAGGTCTAGTCAGTGGTTAATTTGAGCCGGATCCTGCCGGAACAAGAACTCTCTCATTTTGACTCGTTCTGTTCCAGCAACTCTTTGTTCGGATCCGGCAGCTCTGCCCCTAAAAGTCCAAAGTCATTGCACATTTTTATTTTGATTATTTATTAAAAAATATAACGAGAGGAGACGTTTCCCTTAGTCCGGTGGACCCAGTCTGTGGAGTGGATGTTCCAGCCGCAGCATGCGCGGCACACCATCTACACGCTCGTTTGAGGAGGAGGAGGGGAGGAGCCTATAGGCAGGGCAGTGAGGACGGAGGGACAGATGGTGTTACGCACAGAGATTCTGTGCAGAGTCCTTCTCTCCTCCTCCTCTCAAATACTGTCCCGAGTCAGTGGGGCTGCGCATTGAAAAACACACCCTCTCCTCCTCTCAGACCCCAAAACAGAAAATATCATTTATTCAACAGAAAAAATCAATGCCCTGCAGACAGTGCACTTTACGCACAGAAATGTCTCCAGACAGCTCTAGCGTGCGCTCAACATCAGCAGGTGTCTGAACTCCTGCTACATTTCAGACATAATAAATTTAAAAAAGCATACTGTAAAAAATAAATAAAAAATACAAAGGTATAAATGTGGGCAGCACGGTGGCACAACTGGCAGAGCTGCTGCCTCTCAGCAAGCAGGTCCTTGGTTCAAATCCCGGTCCGGGGGCCCTTCTGGGTGGAGTTTGCATGTTCTCTCCATGCATGGGTGGGTTTACTCCGTGTACTCCGGTTTCCTCCCACAGACCAAAAACATGCATGTTAGACTGATTGGTAACTCTAAATTGTCCCTAAGTGTGCGTGAGAGCGTGAATGGTTGTTTGTCTCGTTTGTCTCTATGTGGCCCTGTGATGGACTGGAGACCCGTCCAGGGTGTACCCCGCCTCTCGCACAGTGACTGCTGGACATGGGCACCGGCGACCCCCGTGACCCAAAATGGAAGAAACGGGTAAAAGATAATGGATGGGTGGATGAAGATATAAATGTTTAAAGTGTTATTCACATTATATGTCATGTTTCAAAACAATGGCGCTAATTCATCAAAATAACAACAGCGATCAAAATGTCAAAAAGACAGTCCACTTTACTTTAATAAAAAATGGATGGATGGTCCTTAGTTGGACAACAGAGAATTGAAGCCTTCAGGTGCTTCAAACGGTGCCACGACATTGGAGCAGGAGCAGAGAAGAGTTCAGCTCAGAACCATGAAGTGAGGGGAGGGAGGAGGGGGTTTAGGACACCTGACAGAATCAGAGCTGCTCACACACAACCTGCTGCTCTTCTCCAAAAATAGTAATTTTATTGTTTGCAAATGTAGGTAAATGTTTATGTACATCCCGTTAAAATACACCATAATGCAGAAAATGGCATCTCTGTTATTCAAAATTTTCTGTGAGAGGACACAAGGAGCCCCCCCAACCCCCTATGCACCCCACCCCATAGCGTCAAATCACAACAAAGTTGTCTCAGGGCACTTTACAGAAAGTGCCCTGAGACATTTTGTCATTTTTTTTTTAATGTCCAGAGGACCAGATTTAACTTTTTTAGATTTTTCTACCTGGATTATTGAGCATGCATCAGGATACTTTACAGAAACATTCACATACATAGAAAAGCCAATGAGTAAAGTTCTCTATCGAAGGAAGTAGCAGACAAGTTGAATCTTCACTTCGTTGCAGTCTCCCGACTAAGCCCCTTCGTATGCATCTAGGTCCTAGACTCTTTAACAAACATATCACAGTCTGTCAGGATCCACAACTTCTCCTCCACCCTAAAGACTCCAGTATACTTGTGTGTCCTGTCAGCTGTGCGGAAACTGTGCGCACTGTCCACAGAAGGTTGAGACTTCATACACAAGCACCCACCCTGAGCGGCTGCTGCCAGCTCCGCAGGCAAGGGGCGTTTACCTTCAGGACAAATTGAGGTCGCCAATTGGTCATTTGCTGACACGCCTACTAGATTGATTGACATGTGTATCGTGCTAAGGGCTAGGTTACGCCCTTTGACTACAATATATTTAAATAAACGGGTTCTCTCTTTTTCAAGTTAAATTACAGCCATGTGACCGAGGTAACTGTGCGTGGATTGTTTAATCAGTGACATGAGACGTTAATTTCCTTTGACCCATCAGAATAAATGTGGTCATTTAATGAACAGAATCAAAATTTAACGTCAAAACATTGTACACTTGATTAGCTGATCTGGTTCTGATTAATAAAACTTGGCACGTTTTACTTAATAAAAACAACAGACATTTCTGAAGGCATCTAGATTAATTACTGGCAAAATAGAAGAGCTTAAAGATGGGAAATGGAGGAGTTTAAATGGAGAGAGAAAAGATGGATGATGGAAAGTGTGTTGACTAGGAATGGCACCCTTCATCCGACCCCAGCTCAGCCCCGGTACACTCGGTGCGTGGCGACTCGTTACCTTTGCAGAAGATAGGTCAGCTCCGGTACAGAGTTCCATTTCAATGCTACCTTTCAGCGTCTCCGTTCGAAGTAGTGACGGTACTCCGTTCAACAAACACGCTCATCTCCGGGGTGGATACACAGCAAGATGTGAGTTCAGTCAGAGATTCCACTCAGAAGTGGAGGACTCCATGAAAGACTGAAGAAGACCCCAGGAAGGCTCCGGTCAAGGACTCAAGAAGACTGAAGACTGAGAAGTTCCAGGAAGTGTGGACTCTTAAAGAGTTCTCACTTCCGGTCACTTCAGGACTTCCTGATTGGTTGAAACAACCAACAGGGGGTGGTTCTAGTGACGTCAGAGGGTCATTACAAGTCAAGAAAACAGCAGGAATGTTTTAGAAACGTCCCGTACAGACAGAAGACATGTTATGGCGAAGTGGGAGGAAGCAGATGCCAGTAGCTTCTTATTTACCGTCTGCTAGGTTGAAAAACACGACACTTCGTTCTAATAACTTCTTTCTGACTTTCGACCGACATCACTACTTCTCATTTCAGACAGAAGATCAAAATGCATAATTACTTCGTAAATAGACATTTAACTTGATTTCTAATTTAAATGAGGATTAAAAAATCATTAATACTGTTTCACAGTTGATTTAAAATGAGTGGTTCACTTCAACATTTAGAAATGATTTGAACTAAACACACTTTTGATTTATCAAGATATTGTAAAATAGTAATGATAATATAAAAGAAGAGTGTTCTTTCAATTGATTACTTCAGGATACAATTAGACAGTCTCTGGATGAGCTAATTTGTATTTCTGGATTCAAATCAATGAAATAACAGTTCCTGTCCCATGAAGGTCCTCAGAGGCAGGTTTTGGTCGGAGGCCGAGTTCACTACACATGTTGCAAAATAATAAAAACAAGAGCTGGCAGCACCAGCTGCAGCGGTGTTCTGTGTTTATATGTTGTTAATGAAAAGTTCTAAAAAGTAAACATACAATAAAAAACAGGGAGCACTGGCCCTGCAGCCCACACATCAGACCAGCCCAGCAGGAAATCTCCAGACCCTCCTGCAGCCACGCTGGACCTGATTTTAATTCGCTCGTGATAAATACCTTCAATTCTCACTATTTCAATCATGGCGTCAATGGAGGAGGAGGAAGAGATCGCTTGCCTCTTGAAAAAAAAAAAAAAAAGGTCATTAAACCAGATCAGGGATGAAGAAGGGGAATTTAATATATTGGTGTCTCATACAAAACAGTCCGTCGTCGGGCAGTTTATTGTGTGACACAGAGTACGCATACGTGGTCATAAAAATTGAGCTTTGCACGAACATGTCCTGCGGGCGTTCATTTTGATTCTAATCCGGTATGCGCGGACCTCCACAGACTGACGTATGCACGAGTATACTGGAGGCTTGACCCTCAGCACTGGCTCCCCTCAGGGCTGTGTGTTGAGCCCCCTCCTGTTCAATCTGCTCACATATGACTGCACACCTACCCATGCAAGCTGTCACATTGTAAAGTTTGCAGATGACACAGTGGTGGTGGGATACATCACAAACAACGATGAGTCCAGCTACAGGCAGGAGGTGGAACACCTGGAGAGCTGGTGCAGAAGAACAACCTTCACATCAATGTGAAGAAGACGAAGGAGATGGTCATTGATGTCAGACAGAACAAACATCCCAGGAGGATCTGCGGTGGAAGTGGTTTCCAGCTAGAAGTACTTGGATGTACACCTGAATAACAACCTCAGCTGGGGCAACAGCACTGCCAGCCTGATCAAGAAAGCTCATCAGAGACTCTACTGCATAAGCATTCATCGTGTGCACATCCGCTCACACATGCTCATGTTCATGTTTGTGCTGATGTTCAATGTTTTTATGTTATGAGTGCTTAGTGTATATTTAGTTGATGATTTTCTTAGTTCATATCTTAGATGTTATTACTGTTTTTCTTATACATTTTATTGTTGGATGTAACTGGGACCCTGTGTACATAATTTTGCTCCACCACATGTACCACATGAGGTGCGAATGACAATAAAGAATCTCTGACTCTCTGACTGACTCTCTACTTCCTCAGGCGGCTGAGGCGAGCTAGTCTGGGAAGCTCAGTCTTCACTTCCTTCTCCTCCTGTGCTCCAACATCAACATGTGGCATGGAGGCTGCACAGCTGCAGAAAGAAAAGCTTTGCATAGAGTGGTGAAGGCTGCAGAGTTTAAAAGTCTAAAACTTTGAGTCTGAAGTAAAAAGGAAGCAGAAGAAAGTGTTGAAATTATTCAGTGACTCTGCAGAGGAAGAGGTGAGTGACAGAGGATTCGGCCAATCGGATCTCTACACTGAGGAAACAGAAGTTACCTGTTGAGCACAGGAGACATTTAGGAACAATGGGAACAATCGGAATCAAAGTACATCAAAAAGGTACAGTAGGCAGTGTGTTATCCACAGAGGAATAAAAAGACCAAAGGTTTATTTCATATTTAGAGCAATATTTACGTTTACTTTAACACAATAAAAATCAAAACATCATCTTCTGCAAAATCAAACTTTGTAGCACTGATCATAAAATAATCTGAACTGAGCACACGAGACATTTAGGAACAATTGGAAAAATCATCATAGGGAACTAACATTTTGTGTGTCAACTGTTTACAAAAGATGTGACCAAGTATATTCTTCTTATCAAAAATGCTCAGTATGCACAGTATTTCTGGATACATGATGAAAAAGAAAAAAAGTATCAGAAAACTTTTTGTACTAAATGGGCCAAATCAAGGTTTCATGCTTACAGATGAATTTTTTTTCACTTGTTATGTTTTCAGGCCTCCAGCTCTGTGCGGGGGGTTTGTCAGGCATCAGAAGAGCATAGTCCTGATCACTGGTCAGATTCATCCAGAACCTTCGAATGAGAAACACGAATATCAGAACATGAATCCATCAACTATGGCCGCAACTGATTAACAATGGAATAAATTCATTCAACCTTTATTTATACAGGTTAGTCTCATTGAGTCACGGGGACTCATTTACAAGAGAAACCTGTTTTAGACAAACCACAGATGAGGTACACACAGCAATAAACAAAATGCATATAAAATAAAAAGTAAATAAAAGTAGTGATATAAAACAAAATAAAATCAAGCTACATTATGAAATGAGGTAGAATGCTAAAAACAGGAACACTGATTTTTGCAGTGAACTTAACAATTGTTTAAAATCCCTTAGAGACGTCAGTCGAGAGCCTCAGCTTTTTGCAAATAAACAGCAGGTTCCCACGACCTGACCATAGATACGTGCATCAAGATGGATGAATAACCTGAACTGAACAACAAACTCAATTAATCTGTTCTTTAAATCTCTAGAAAAAGATGCTTTAAGAAATTTAGTTAACTTTTTACAAAAAAGAATGAAACAGAAAAAAGTGCAGGACAGAATTTTTACAAAGTTGTTGCAGCATTTTATTATTTTACTTTTTAAAATAAAGGTTTTACCTGAGAGTGTCATTATGTCCATCCACCCACATCCAGGTTTGGCTAATTTTGCGTAATCCCATCCAGTATCCTTGCCATGGACCAAAGTAGTATTTAGTGTGATTACTGAGAAATATCTGTAAATTAAAACATCATAGATCATCAAACATTTATACCTTTAGGCTTAGCCTAAAGTAATCTAATAAAATAATTTATAAAAGATGATTCAGAAACTAAGTTAAAGTTGTGATGTTGTTCTCAGAGCTCACCTGTTCCTGCAGATTGTTAATAACAACCAGATCTGCTGCATTGGTCTTACAAAACTGTCTACTTTGGTTCCAGGTCTTCCAAGGGGAAGTCTCTTCATAAAACAAGTAGCACATTTCTTGAAACAGAATCCATCCTGCCCGACATAGCAGACACTCTGTTGTCATGAAAAAATATTAAAATGACTCAGAAATTAAACAGGAATAATATCTAAGTATGTGCAGCAGAACTGCTGGCATAGCACAACAGATCCTCAATGACCTACACAAGGCGAGGTCAGTGAACAAAGCCAGGCTGATTCTGGCAGATCCTGATCACCCACTCCATGGTGCGTTTAGGTTGCTTCCATATGGATGCAGGTATCTGCTGCCCAGATGTAGGACGAACAGACTGAAAAACTCATTCATCCCTGTAGCGATCAGACTTCTCAACGAACAACGTTCCTGTTATTTTAAAGTCTCAATGTCTTGTCTAGTACGGATGTTTTGTGTGTCTACTGACGGTGAAACAAATTGCCCCTTGGGGATAATAAAGATTTTGAACTTGAACTAAAATGCTAAAATAATACAGTAGTCCCTCGCTACTTCGCAGTTCATTTATCATGGTTTTTCAAAATAAGACTGGACATGACACACAACTGACTGACTGATAGATGAGCTGCATGATCGGCTTGAAATTTTTATTTAAAATAAATTATTTAAAATTATTTCGCACCTCCTGCACTTTTGTGCAGCCCACATTGCAGGATAAACATACTGCTGCAGCTGATGAGCTGATCACCATGCAGAGCGGAGATGTGGGCGTGGTCAAGAGCGCTTGCAGGTGGCAAAGAGCAGAGGAGGCAGCGAGCTGAGACATGACATTCTGTGCTCTTTTAGATCTTTAGAGTTTAGAAACATTGTTTAGAATTTGCAAGCGTGTGTGGGAAGAGTTTTAAACACCTTTATATATATATAT